TATATATATATATATATATATGTGTGTATATATATATATATATATGTGTATATGTGTATATATATATATATATATGTGTATATGTGTATATATATATATATATGTGTGTATATGTGTATATATATATATATGTGTATATATATTATCTTTAATTTACTCATTGATTGTTGTTGTTGTTGTTGTTGTGAAAACGTTTCTCCCTAAAAGTAACTAGTCTAGTACAGATGACATGATTTAACCTTTTTTGTATTTATCTACCTGGATGCTTCCAAACCTTTCTCAGCTTCACGCAGGTTGTATTATCTTGCGGCCGGCAGATGGCGCTAAAGCGCCTACAACGGAAACCGGAAGAGGTGAGAAACCACTAAGAAGGAAGAGAAGAACAACAACATGAACGAGATGTAAACTCTGATCCGCTGCGAACCGAGCCGAGTGGGAACAATGAAAAGCTGATCAAATGTCTGAAGACGGGTCGATCAGTAAAATCTCCGCCATGTTCGCGGTGTTTTGTGTTTTTTTGGTGCTCTTGTGCCTTCACGGCTCCGCCGGTGAGTCCTGATGTATTTTGCTAACTGTTAGCATCATGCTAACGTTCATCCGTTGCCAACTGTAAACAAGTTTCGTTATAAATATGAGTTTAAATGTTTTAACGAGGCGTTATTTGACTGTTTAGCGTTGGTGCTAATTAAAGGCCGGAATGTTTTTAAACAAATTGTGAGGTTATATGATGTGGAGAAAGAAATGAGGAAACTGAAAGTATTTTAGTCATGGCGTCGCTGAAAAACAAGTCTGAGTTGAGTTTTTATAAGATAATAATTTATTTTAGTTTATGTCTCACGGTCTGAAGTTGTATGTTAGAAATATAGTAGGTTTATAACCTGGTGGTAATTTAAGAACATCAAGACGACAACAAGATATTTCAGCTCTCCTCGTTCCAATGAACTGGACCGAGATCAGATCCAAACCTCTCCTTAAACGATCAGAATAGGTCCAGATGTTGCTGCTGGTCCTGATGTCTCACCCGGTTCTGGTACATATGGACACTGTAAATATAATGAATTGAAACTTTTTTTTATTAGAAATTAAGAAATGTTAGAATTGGAACCATCACGATGTGTCCAGATGTTATTTCCTGATGAACAGGATGTATCCAGATGTTCTGTCCTCATGAACACATGTCCAGATGTTCTGTCCACATGAACACGTGTCCAGATGTTATGTCCTCATGAACACATGTCCAGATGTTCTGTCCTCATTAACATGTGTCCAGATGTTCTGACATCATTAACAGGATGTGTCCAGATGTTCTTTCCTCATGAACAGGATGTGTACAGATGTTCTGTCCACATGAAAATGTGTACAGATGTTCTGTCTTCATGAACACAATGTGTCCAGATATGTCCTCATGAACATGTGTCCAGATGTTCTGCCATCATTAACAGGATGCATCTAGATGTTCTGTCCACACGAACAGGATGTGTACAGATGTTCTGTCCACATGAACATGTGTCCAGATGTTCTGTCTTCATGAACAGGATGTGTACAGATGTTCTGTCCACATGAACATGTGTCCAGATGTTCTGTCTTAATGAACACAATGTGCCCAGATATGTCCTCATGAACATGTGTCCAGATGTTCTGTCCTCATTAACAGGATGTGTCCAGATGTTCTGCCATCATTAACAGGATGTGTACAGGTGTTCTGTCCTCATTAGCAGGATGTGTACAGATGTTCTGTCCTCATTAACAGGATGTGTACAGATGTTCTGTCCTCATGAACATTTCTACATCAAACCAGACCAGAATAATCAAACAACGAGTGTTTGTCTTCAGAAAAAAGTCTGAACACCAAACAGACCGGTTCTGTTTGGTGTTCCAGCTGCTGCTGACACATGATTGAAACCAACCCGACCAACACCGCCCGTGTTTCTGTTTCCATCACATGACTGACAGAAAGCAGGAAGTGGGGCAGAGTGTCTCCTGGGAGCCACTGGTCCGGTTTCTGGTTCTGTCTTGTGTCCTGAAGGTTTAGTTACTGGGACGCTCGTTAAAGAACCCACTCCAGAGGTGAACAGGTTCTGTAGTTATCAGTTCATCTCACTCAGATACGTGTTGTTTAAATGTTCGGTACTTTTTAGACTTTTGTCCACTCGTATCAAAACATTCGGCTCCTTTGGGACAATCGCAACTTTTAGTTTTGGTAACTTTAAATAAAGTTTTACATTTTTTGTCAAAATATATTTTATTATATTTTCTTTAACAGCGAACTTTCTCTGATATTTCCCCCTAAAGTTCGTCTGATTCCTCAGGCGGCCTGATGTGGAGATAAATCAGTCACCACCAAGAGTTGTGCGTGTACAACATGATCCACAAAAGAACAGGATGGATGCACACATTGCAGTTTGCACAAGTAGGAATATACTGCACGTACAGTCAAATACACATGCACGCAGCACCGGCTGTGCACGGATCAGCTGCCTGCATGTGGGACTTTAGGACTTTCTTACTTCCAGATTCACAAAGCTGATGCTGCGTTCAAGGCTGCTGAAAAGCTTGGACATCTGAGCCTCATCAGACTTATTGAGTTATTGGGAAACTTTTCTAACTTGACTCAGGAGCTCAGAGCCTCGATGTTAAAACACACTGAAGTTACTGGATTGAGAAATGTTGATTTTTGTGGAGATAAACAACCTAAAATGATTAGTTTTATTCTTCTCTGTTTTTCGAACCTACTAATTTTTTTTAATTATTTTCAACAAAATTAACATAATCTTGTGGAAAACACTTAACTTGCATCATGAAGGACCCCACTCACCCAGCACACACACTTTTTGCTTCGCTCCCTTTACGAAGGAGGTTGAGGAGCATTAAGTGTAGAACCACTAGACTGAGGAACAGCTTCTACCCTGAAGCTGTTAGACTCATGAATCTCTAACCAGAAAAATCACTAATGCCACTTTAATCAGACATTTGACACTTTGTGCTGCTGATTTCTTACCTTGAGCTGCTATAATCATCTGCTCACAACAGACTCATGTTCAGGTCGCTGTTCATTACACCTTATTTATATTATTATTGTTAGTGTAAATATGTTTATTTTTATTTATACTTTATATATATATATAGCTTTTTTGGGTGTAACTGGACATGGAGCACACAATTTTGCTCCACCTCATGTACCACATGTGATGAACGAACGACAATAAAGTCTCCTTTAACTTTAACCATTTATATTAGTTTATTTCAAATATACACAAAAATACCAGAAATGATATTTGCCTGGTAGTTCCAGTATAAACCCGTATGGGAGTTCTGAGCTCCTGAGCCCAGTTAGAGAAGTTTCCCTCTAACTCAGTAAGTCTGGTGAGGCTCAGATGTCCCAGCTTTTCAGCAGCCTTGAACGCAGCATCACCTTTGTGAATCTGGAGGTAAGAAAGTCTCGCTCACAGTCAGCTGATCCGTGCACAGCAGGTGGTGTGTGCACGTGTATTTGACTGAATAGTCCTACTTGTGCGAACAAACGTGCACATTTAAAAACTGTTTGCGAATCTTGTGACTTCTTTTAAGACTGGTCTGTCTCCATGTCTGGATGGAGGTCGGTCACGTGACTCGAGCTTCTGCTGCTTTGGCTCAGTCGTGTTTTGTTTACGCTGAGTGCGTACCTGCGTTTCAGAAAGATACATCGGTACATCTGGAAAAGTAGCAGAACCATCTGATAAAGTTCTGGAGTTTTTGTGATAAGCTCTAAAAACAAAATATTAAAGACGAACTGTTTACGTCCAGAACACTGTGCAGTTTGTTTACGTTCTGAGGGTGTTTTGTCTCAGGCACCTTCACATTAAAAGCCTCTTGTCCACTTACGTTGTTTAAATGTTGGATCATGGCGACAGTTTAAAATTTGTTCAGCAGCTGGTCATAATGATTTGTCCTTCTGTTATCTGTGCCGAAGTCTCTGATCCAAGTTAAACTCATCTAAACATCAGTTCAGTCAAACTAAAAGTCGGGGCTGCAGCTGGAGTTCTGGTTCTGATCGCTCTGTCGGTTCTTCTGAGAGAACAGAACCGGCTCTGAGCCTCGGGTCGGACCATTTCGGTTGATTCTTGTTGTTTTCCTGCAGCTGAAGCGGAACTGGCTCCACCTCAGGATGTGAAGATGATCACCTTAAACACCAACTACACCCTGAGCTGGGCCTGGGACCAAAGAACCGCCGGGTCCGGCGCCGTCACCTTCACCACGCAATACGTCTCGTGAGTCCGACCGTTCAGATCCGACAGAATTCATCTTTAAATGTGCGGTCTGAAGGTGTCCGCAGCTCAGATTGGACTCTGCAGGTCATGAGGCCTTCAGTGATGAAAATGTTCTCGTCTCCTCAGGAGGTACAAGCTGAAGATGAAGAAACCGAGGTGGAACACGGCGTGTGAGGCGGCGTCCCGCAGGTCATGTGACCTGACCCGGTTGAACCTGCACTACCTGAGCATTTTCATGCTCCGCGTTCGAGCCGAGCTCAACGGCCGTCACTCGGAGTGGGTGCTCAAGGAGTTCTGTCCCGATAAAGACGGTATGGAGACGGACGGATTCAAAACCTGTTACAGACACAAACTTACGGGTCTGACCCAGATCCTGCTGCGCCACTGGTTGCCATGGTGACACCCACCACTTTCTAGAAGAATTAAGAGCAAATGTTCGTGCCGCTTCAGTGTTTTCTGTTTCGTTAATGTTGGTGTGCTGAGGTTCTCCTTCTGCTCCCACCAGCTGAAATCGGACCTCCATCTAAAATGGACGTCTCCGCTGCCGGTTCCGCTCTGGATGTTTCCATCATGGACCCTCTGACCAGCTCCAACACCTCCATGAGGGAACACCTCTCCAAGCTCTCCTTCCACATCCACTACTGGGAACTGTCAGATGAGAGGCAGGTAATGAGTCCGGTTCTGATGTAAAACTGTACCCCCAACAAGTACTGAGCCCGGTTCTGATGTAAAACTGTACCCCCAACAAGTACTGAGCCTGGTTCTCATGTAAAACTGTACCCCCCCAACAAGTACTGAGCCTGGTTCTGTTGTAAAACTGTATCCCCAACAAGTACTGTGCCCGGTTCTCATGTAAAACTGTATCTCCAACAAGTACTGAGCCCGGTTCTGATGTAAAACTGTACCCCCAACAAGTACTGAGCCCGGTTCTCACGTAAAACTGTATCTCCAACAAGTACTGAGCCTGGTTCTGTTGTAAAACTGTATCCCCAACAAGTACTGAGCCCGGTTCTCATGTAAAACTGTATCTCCAACAAGTACTGAGCCCGGTTCTCATGTAAAACTGTACCCCCCCAACAAGTACTGAGCCTGGTTCTGTTGTAAAACTGTATCCCCAACAAGTACTGTGCCCGGTTCTCATGTAAAACTGTATCTCCAACAAGTACTGAGCCCGGTTCTGATGTAAAACTGTATCCCCAACAAGTACTGAGCCTGGTTCTGATGTAAAACTGTACCCCCCCCAACAAGTACTGAGCCCGGTTCTCATGTAAAACGTTATGAGACAGGTGGTCATAATATTGTGGATGATACAGAGCTGATGTGTGTTCTGTTGGACCCCTTCCTGGTTCTGATGTGAGCCCGTCTGAACTTTATTTAAATAACTGAACCGTTCTACGGTTCTGATGAGGAGCCCTCCTGGATCCTGCAGGTTCTGTCAGATCGGGTCTCCATGCATGAAGTCTTCTTGGTGTCTTCAGGTCCAGGTGTTGAACAGCACCACCAACTTGGTGACTCTGTCGGACCTGAAAGCCTGGACCTGGTACTGTGTGAGGGTCCGGTCTTACTACGACTTCTACGACAAGTCAAGCAGCTTCACGTCTCCGCAGTGCGCTCTGACTCAAGGTAAGACACCTGAGACAGGTCCAACACTGTAACGGACCCAGCAGCCGGGTCAAGTCTGACCCGACTCGTTCTCTGCGACAGGAACCGTTCCCTGGTGGCAGATCTTCCTGTTCTTCCTGGGGTCTCTGCTCATGTGTTTCCTGCTGGTCCTGCTGTTCCTGTACGGATCCCATCGGTGCTACTGGCTCTGTAAGACCACCCTGTTCCCCAACGAGCAGCTGCCCCCGCACATCAAACAGGTATGCAGGTGGAGGAGGTGCTGCTTTGAGTTCCTGAGCTGCAGGAGGTTCTGTAACGCCTCCTTCTGGGTTCCTCCCTGCAGCGCCTCTTTGACTCTCCGGACTCGGACTGTCCTCGCCTCGTCCTCTCAGACTCCAAGTCAGAGCTGCTGTGCGAGGACGTGACCTTCTGCCCGGACTGCGCCGTCCTGGAAATCCACGGCTCCGCAGCGCCCCCAGCAGGCCTGGAGGGTTCTAACAGGTCAGGTTCTGATCCGACATTAGACCGGGTCCGGCTGCAGGAGATGTAAAATGTTTTCTGTTTGCAGCTGCAGACACTTTCGCCAGGACAGCAGCAGCAGCGGAGACTCCGGAGTTTACTCTGCAGGCAGGAACTCCAGCGTCCTGCAGACCAGCACCGGTCTGTCCTTCACAGACGTGGACCGCGAACCCGGCTCCGACCTGGAGCGGGTCAAGATGTTGCAGATGGGGTTTACGTTTTCTCCTGCGGTCGCAGCCGACGTAGATACGGACGCCAGCGTCTGATGTTTGGGTTCATCAGGGAGTGAGGACTTTCCACCGGAAGAGGAGGAGACGTCCCTGAGAGACGGACAGAGGACATTTAGACCTGATCACATTTAACCTGAACGTCCTTCGTTTTAACAGACTTGGACTCACAGGGAACTAGAGGTCCTTCGTGTTTGACTCTGAATGTGTTTGTGCCCTGAGACAGATGGACACTTTGAACTGTCTTCTCAACCATGAGACAGGTGGACAGTTTGGACCATTGTCCTTGTTTATTGCCTTTCACCTGCTTCCGTCCTTCAGGATCGACTCCTCCATCTGTTTTTCTTGTGCGGTTCGGGTCACTCTTTTTTTGTCACTCTTGTTTCCGGTCACTGTTTAAATATTAACAAAGTATCTCGTCTCTTATTAATCATGTTTCACTGGATGAGAAACGGAATTTTGTTTGACACAAATAAAAAGATAATGTTGGGGATGTTTTTATTACTATGGCTGAGATTGCTAACTGCCCATGAACCATATGTTGGGTTAGCAGAGACGTCTGTGAGCTCAGCTGAACTGATAAGCACTTAAAAACAAGCTGCACACGCAGCTTGTGACTGGTCTTCGTATGTACTTCCTGTATATCTGTGTAAACTGTCCTGAAAATCTGACCTTGCAAGTAAAATACTGGTTAAAAATCTGCCTTCGAGTGTGGTTCTTTTTATTTAAGTAAAGAGAGAATATTTTCCTCCAATAGATAACTCATCATAAAGTTCACACGATGTACGGAAGTCCTCTTCTGCCAGTCTGATCAGCAAAACGTTAACGTGCCGCCCTGCAGCTCCTGAAGTTTAAACGTGGTCTCCGTCATATTCCAGGGTCAGTCCATGGTTCTGAAGCGACCTGAAGACGTGACGTCACACACAGCAGGTTGAGTGCATCGCTGCAGTTATATTTTAATACATATTTTTAAATTGTTCATAAAGCAGGTGACACCTGGATTATATTTAATCTGTCACCTCAAAAACAAAAGTTGTATGTCACATTTGAAATAAATATTTTAAATATCTATACATTTAAACATTTGTTAATGAACGATTATACTAGTCAAAGTTTTTTTTCTCGTATAATAAAAATTAGTTAGTTTGAACTTTATTTTGAAACAATCCAAGCTTCCGTCCGTTTTGTCCTTTCGCGGCACCCGTAAAGGCTGCCCCGTAATGCGGATGTAGAGGCGCAGCTCCATTTTTAGCAGCGCTAAAGCTAGCCGAGTTTCGCTGTTAAAAGCCAATAAAAGGATAAATAAAATTAGATTTTTATTTAATGACGATGATTTTAATATTTTACTTTACAATCAGTTAATCGGATATTTCACCATGTTTATGACTCGATGACTTCCCATAAATTCATGTCGGATTTCAGGAAGTAAATTTGTCTCCTTTCGAGTCCAACAGAGGACAAATGTCCATCGGATGAAATGGACGGGTGGACACGGATGTTTTCTGGATCCCGTCGCTGTTTTCTGGACTTCTTCGTGGTGGTTCTGTCCGTCTGCGCTTTGGGTCCAGGTAAATGTGTTGAAACGAACCGGTTCCGATAAAGTCTGTTATAAAGTAAATAAAATAAATATATAAAAACTATTTAGTAAGTAAAACTATTAAAGTTTATAAAAACTAATGAGTCCTCCAAATTTAACATTTACAGAATAGACCGTTCAGACACGATTAAAGGTTGTTTTAAACGAGATTAAACATTTCAGACAAAATTAAGTAAATTAACAAAATTCAAAAACTAATATTACATTAATTTAAAAAAACACGACGTAATACTCAAACATGAACCTAAATGGACACACACATCTGTCCCCTGGTCTGTGCAGAGGACACAGCTCCAGAATCTTTGTCCTGTCACTGCGCACTGCACGGTCTGACCTTCGGGGTGAACCTGCTGGAAATGAAACGTGATGATTTTCTTCCAGTTGACTGTGACGGGGTTTTGGCCCCGCCGACCCACGTCCACGTTAACGGGTCCCGGCTGGTCTGGACCGCGGCCTCAGAGGAGTCCGGCGTCACCTACAGAGTGGAGTATCAGAGGTGCGTTCTGATCCGTTTGGGGTTTCAGTTCTGTCCAAACATCTCATGTTGTGTCCTGTGTCCTCAGGTTCGCGTCCAACAGTTGGGACGTGGTACCGGAGTGCCGCAGCACGCCTCTTACCTTCTGCGACCGTGGTCCTGTACGGTCTCAGAACTGGTCCCATGACGCCTGCGTTCAACTGCGGGTCCAAGCTGAGAGAGCCGGGTCGATGTCAGAACCGGTCCAAGCCTGCAGCACTCACGGTAAAGCACCAGCAACTGTTCCTCCGGGCAGAACCTTTGGACCGGTTCCTGCTCCGTTCTCTACAAAGTTAAAAAACAGAAAATTATTTGATGCAATTTAGAAACAATGGTTCTATGACCCGGTTCTGAAGAAGATGGGTTGTTATGTAAAACTCCTCTGTGGACCGGACCTGACCTCCATCTGTTCCCCGCAGGTGACCCGTGTTCTCCTCAGGTCCATCTGACTGCCAGGCCTGGTTCTCTGACCGTCCATCTGAGCAAGAACCACAGCCTGTTTCTGGAACACGCAGATCACGCTCGGCACTGGATCTACTTTGGAGCGGAGGGAGAAGAACTGGAGGTGAGAGGAGGTCCAACGGGTCCTGCGTCGGTTCTGGCTCCTCCAACAGACCGAGTCCAATCCGTGCTCAGGACCCTCTCTGAATTTTTTGTGCTGTAATACGTAGGTTCAGACAGGAAGTGGAGGTTCAAACAGGAAGTTAAGGTTCAGACAGGAA